CTTGGTCGTGATGCACGCAAAGGGTGGGTTGGGAGAAAAGGGGTTGGAAGCTGTCATAGCGCACAAGATCGTCGTCGACGTCTCCACGGCGGCGAGTTGTTCCCAGCGAGTTGAGCAGAAACCTATCGTTTTGCATAAGCGCCGCCAGAGGCGACAACACGGGAACTTCGCGGTTGGCGTTCAATACCACGGGGAGGTCCTTCACTTGCCGACCGCCGACCCTCCTCTCTTTGGGCTCCGCACAATCCACGCTTTCAAAAAAAGGACAACAGCCCAAAGAGGGGGAGGGAACACAACATCAATCTCCCTCTTTTCCCTCACCAAGAAGCGGGTGATTTCCTCCGCGGGGACGGGCCGGAGACACCTCCGCACGGTCATGAGCGTCGGCATGGTCACCGGAGTGCGCCGAAGGAGAGACCGGAGGACTTCCGAACAGTAGATCTTGTCAATGTGCTCTCGAAGCGCTTCGGTCAGACGGGCCAGGCTCGGGATAATCGGCATCGTGGTGCCGCTGCCGCTGCTGCCGCCGCCGATGCGTAGCCCGCCGCCGCCGCCGTGGACCATGGCAAGGTCGCCCGTACTCAAGGTCCTTGGGCGACGGCACTGCCCGAACCGGGCGCCCGTCTGTTGTTGCTGCGGCTGCGGCTGCTGCTGCTGCTGGTGGTGCGGCGTGTAAAGAGGGACACAGTCAGCCCGATCGTCACGTGGGCGAAGAGGGCAACGGACTGATAAGCGTTCAAGGACCGGTCGTGAAGTCGCTAGAAAAATACCTCTAGAGTGCCAACTACAGCAGTAGTCGTAGCACTCCTGGGTTCACAGCGGCGGAAAATGGCAAAAGCGGAAACTAGACGAACTGATGTGGAGAGCCGACAGAGAATGGGGGGGGGGAAAGCGCTCAGGAAAAATCCTCCTTTTTCACCTTCACAGGCGAGTGTCCGTCGCCGCCAGCCCCAGCCTCCGCACCGCTGGAAGCAGACCTTGACCAATCAGACGCAGGGAAGGTCGTCGCCAAAATGCAGAGATGCGACTGCGCCCCGCCCAGGCCTTCACAGTCGGCGCAGGCGCCGGCCCCATCGAATCTGCCGACCGCCTGCTCAGCACGGGCAACGTTCGGCATCGACTTGAGAGCTCGCGACAACGCGTGGCTGGCGTCGACGACGCACCCTCTGCTTCGGTGCCGCCGCGGCTGCTGCTGCCAAGCGCCGTAGTGAAACGAACCTGGGGCCGCGTCGTTGCCGACGTGGACTCTGCCGTCATGCTCGTTTTCGTCCCCGTCCCCTGAAGTTGCTGCTGCCGCTATTGTGGCCATCGCCGCCGCATCTTCGTCGGGCCCGTCGACGCACACCGTCTCGTCGTGGACGACCTCGAAGCGCACGAAGAGCGGGAAAGACGCCGAAGACGTTACCGCCGCGGCCGCCGCAGAAGAAGCAGCCACCGTCTCGGGGTCGGCGACGGCAGACAGGGAGCTGCTACGGCCCTGAAGTGATTGGTTGGCGCAAGTGCTGGTGCTGGTGCTGCTGTTGTTGTCGTGTGGTGACCCTCCGCGGTATGTGGGTACCAGAGCTGCTGCCACGTTGTCCGCCACCTGGCCGGACCAATGGTGGCCGGCTGCGACCGCCGTCGTCCTTAGAGATGTCTCTGTCACCGAATGTGGCGGCATCAGCGTCCCGCCAGCAGCAGTAGCAGCAGCACCACCACCACCAGTAGCCGACGCGGAACTCGCCTGCGGGATGTTGGCAGCACCCCACCCTTCGTCTTCGCTCTCCCAGTAGATGTAGTACACCGTGCCGGGGACGGGCCGAAGGTACCTAAAGCAATCAAGGGGAGAGGAAAACGTGTTGGGCGTTGGATGTGTCTATGGCAACTATGAACAAACAAGTGAATTCCGTACACATCACCTACTGGCCTGCTGAGACAAAACATTGGAGGTGTGAGGATATGTTTGATGGACGAACAGTCGCGCCATAGCGGGTGATTAATAAACGCTCAGGTACGGTGCAGGATTGCGGGGGAAGGTAAGACGGGTCAATAGGGTGCGCGATATTGCCACGTGGCTATTAAGTGACGGGTTTTGCAACATTGACCACTCATGCAACAACGACAAAATATCACCACCACAACAACTGGTGTTGACCCAACAGCAGCTCGTCCCCCCCCCCCCCTCTTTCGCACCTCGAAAGGATGCTTGTGAACTCCACGTCGCACGCAGCTTTGTCCGGCTCTGCCTGCTGCGCGGCATCAGCCGGATCCGCACGCGGAGCGCCCTCAGCCGTGCCGTTGTCCAGCACAACCCGCCGCAGCCTGGTGATGTTCACCTGTGTCCACAACCATGGCATGCTCATCATCCATAGTGTTTCCCATTCGTTTGCCATCGTGCACGGTTCCAAGCACTCTTTTGGCGTTCCCTTCTGATTGACTCAAGAGCCGTTCTGACTGAAGAGTTTCGATCCAAGAGTCACACAGAAAACTTCGGCGGTGCAGACCTTCCATGCCCGTGCGAGAAGAGGGTTCTGCGATTCTTTTCGCCGAGGCCACTCGAAGGCAAGGGCTCTCGGCAGGAATATACCAGGTGTGGTGAAATGGGAAAAAGCCGCTCGCATTTCGGGTCTCAAGCAACCTCGCCGCCAGAAGGCAAGCGTTTCAGACGACAAAAACCGAAACGCCTACAGTAGGGTACTCTGAATGCGAAGGCTCGACCCTGTCGCCCAACCTCTTCCGCAGCTCTCTGGACGAGGGAGCCATCGGCATAGAAAGTGCCGTCGATACAAATGAAAGAACACACATACTCGTGTTCGGATTGCTTGTCCCGAGGTAGATCTGACGTCTTGCATTCGATCGTTCGGCCGGTTGACAAGGCCGATGCAAATTTAAAGACACGCCCTCTTATTCATACCGCTGACAATTAAAAGCATGTTCGTGTTTCGTATCCCGCTGTAGGACCGCAGTCTTCTCAGTGTTCCACCCGATGGTGAGCACGCTGTCGATGCCAACAAAAAAAACGCACACCCACACACCTCCCGGGAAGTCTCGCCGCACCCCGACAGGGCGAAAGCGAGATCGCCGCTGCAGAGCATCCTCCCCTCCCGCAGGGCCGCGTAGACCACCCTGAGGAACGCTCTCCGATGCTCCAGGTTGACGAGCCCCTGGTACGACCTTGCCAACGTGCCGACGCGCCCGCCGCCGGGATCATCTCCCCACCCAATCCTGGAGAGTGGGGGGGCTCGTCGCTCAGTAATAAATTGGCTCACAAACGTCTGATCGTTGATCACCACGCACGACTTTCAAGGCCTGCCTCCTACTCGTGGCAGAAGAACGCACATATGTAGGGAACGCCTGACTGGGGGCAGGCAATTATTGGAGAGGAGTGTTTCACAGCATTTGCACAGGCGCGGAGCACAAGTGGAAGGGAAACCCCCGCATCCCTGTGGGAAGTCGAGCGACCTGGGCGAATGAACAACCAGTCGCTGACCCCCACGGGCTGGGGTGCGAGAGGCTGGAGGGCATGTCGTCCTCGAACGGAGGTGGAACATAAAACCTCACAACAACGAAGCATCGAGCTCAACGTGGCAAAAAAGCAAACAGAGGAAGGTTAACGGGAGAAAGAGGGTGGTGGTAGTGCAGGTGAGTGGCGGTCATGCAGCTGAAAAAAGCACCTTTGTCGCGGCCATTAGCCTGCACGAATCTGTGAACCATCTCCCACCTTGATATTCGGGTGGAGGTAGGTTTCGTTTTCGGTAGAGGTAAAAACATAACCTTCCTTTAAAACATGCCAAATCAAACGACCAACCACAGAAAAAAGGGCCAAATCAAACAATCAACGACAGCAAAGATAAACCTTTCCCCACCGTCGTGCGGGCTTGAACGCCATCGCCTGGTGGTGACTGCGCGGGATGTGGGCCAGCAAGATCCTCCGGATGTCCCGCAGCTTGGCGCTCTGCGGCTCGATGGGCAGCCCGAAGTCCCCGGACCGCACGAGGAACAGAAAGAGGCCGAGCGAGTCGTCCTCATCCTCGTTGCCACCCTTGCCAGCGCAAGCACCACCCCTGCCGGGTCCTTTCCTGCCGCTCTTCTTCCACTTCCGGGTCTTCCTCGCCTCCCGCAGCGCTCTCCTCTGCTCCAGGCGCGCCGACACCTCCTTCCTCCACTCGTCCAAGGCCGGCAGGAACGTCAGGAGTATCGCGCCGTCGCCGATCGTCCTCGAGAACCAGCGGCCGCGCATCGCCAGCTCGGAGGGCAAGGGCCCCGAGGCGCCCTTGAGAGTGGGCGGGGCCAATCCCGGCACGCCTCCACCGCCAGAGGAAGCCCCGGCGGTAGGGGGTGACGCCGGGCCAGCGTTGCAGTGGCCTCCGGAGCGACCACCGCCGACCCGCGAAGCAGCGATGCCGGAACTACTACCGCTGCTGCTGTTGGCGACCAGGTAGATGCTCGGCGGGATCAGGTCCGACGAGGTTATCGCCCACGGGACGGACACGTTCTGCGTGTCCTCCAGCACCTTCTCCAGCAGGCCGTGCATCTTTTTTAAGAAGAAAAAAATGTTTTCGGACAGGATCCGGATGGAAATTTTGGCACCAAAAAGGAGGCGCGAAAGAAGGAAGGCCAGCAATCCGGCAGTAAATTGGACGGGGGCGGAGTGAGCGGGGGCAGCCACAAGACAAGCGGTGCATCTCATGAGAGGAACTAAGATGTCCTTTGTCGTCAACACCACGATGTCGGCATGAACAAACATCACGAGTTGGTGGATGGGAGCAGAAAAATCTGTTGGAAAACACCGCAGACTGCGTTGCTCGGTGTACAAAAACAACGCCCACGACGGAAACACCGCAACTGTTCACCATGACAAACTGTTTTCCATGACAACAACGACATCGGCAACAGCCAAATCCCTAAAAAAAATGCACCTGCTCGTTCGCCGACAAGTCACCCTCGTGCACCGACCCGGCTCGCCCACGAGATCCCGCGGTGCCCCCCTGCCCGCCGTCGCCCACCGCGGGGCTCCCGGCACCGTCCCCGTCCTTATTATCGCCGTTGTTGTCGATCTGGACGACCGGCAGCGCCTCGCACGTGGCGCAGTGCCTCGCAGCAGGAGCGGCGGCGGCGGCGGCGCAGCCGCCGTCGTCATTCTCAACCGTTTCCCTCTGCCGCCCCGCGTCGTCCTTTCTTCCTTGCTGCTCCTCCGCCCCCTTCTCTCCCGCCCCAACGCCCCGCCCCATCACCACGCCTTCCTTCGTCGTCGGGAGCTGCCCGACTTCGCCGCTGTCTCTCGCCCCCCCGGCGGCGCCGCCTCCCGGGCCGCCCCTGGACGGCCTCTGCCTTATCTTCCTCGGCGACGGCGTGTTGTGTGCCGGGGGCGGCGGCGGCGGCGGCGGCAGCGACGGGAGAGCGTCCGCGAAGTGGAACATGCGGAGGGGCGCGCGCCGCTGGTCTGCGTGCACGACGAGGTTGATCAGGCTCACGGGCACGGCGACCTCCGACAGGACGTCGGCGTCGTCTCCCGCGCCGCCGTCCCTCGCCCCGCCGCGCTTGCTGCCACCGCCGCCGAAGCTCCCGCTCCCGCTCCCACTCCCGCTCCTGCTCTGGGGGACTCTGCCGGGGGAAGACTGCCGCCGCGGGTAGGTCTCCATGCCGCTAGCACCGCCAGCGCTGCCGCTGCTGCTCTGTCGAGAGCACACTCCACCACGCCGCCCGCCCGGCCCTGCCCTGCTCGCCCCTGGTATGTCCCACCCGCTGTTGTGGGCGGCAGCGGCGCTGGACTTCGCGGCGGTGGCGGCGTGGTCCCTCGCCCGGGCGATCGGGGACATCCTTGCCGCAGCTTCGCTTTTGTGCTGAAGGTAGATATAGCTCTTGAAGGCCGACAGGATGCGCAGGTCCGCGGCGTCCACGTAGCGGATCAGGTTCTGGAACAGCTCCTGTGGGACGGGTCGGGACGCACAACACAGGCGCCATGAGTTCATTTGACGGACGAGGATCATCACCACGCGGTAAAGAACGAAGGCGTGCGCGATTGGTTTCTGGCAAACACTGCTAATACATTCGGAGACAAGTTTTTACGCCTCTGTACTGCTGCTGCTGTCACTGTTGCGCCAAAACGAAGGGAGGCCCACCTTATCGGACATCCAAAACGAACCGCCGCCTCCACCACCGGCCGAGTCCTTCGTCCCCTGCTGCCGCTCCACCCATACGTGGCCATGCTGCGGCTCCATCCGGAGCTCCGTGCCGATAATACCGTGCCCCGCCTGCACAAAACACAAACAACAACAGCATCAGCATCAGCATCAACAACAACAACAACAACAACAACACGTCAACAGTAGTACCAGAGGCACAGGAAGCGTAGGCGGGTTGCGATGAGTCTGCCACATGTCCTCCGTTTCGGCCCAAGAAAAGATGTATACCCATGGAGTTCCTATTTACCGCGGCCAACTCTCTGCATGCAAGAGCGCGTTCCCCTCCTCCGAATTTCCACGGACACACAACCCCAGCGGCCGACCACGGCAACTGTCTGCTCACTTCAAAGACCCTATACTGCAGGATCATCCTCATCGCACGAGGCTCGCCCCGCCCGCCCCCGCCCCCTCCTCCGCCACCGCCGCCACCGCCGCCATCACCTCGATCACCTCCCCGTCCTCCTCCCTCGTTGGCGCCCCCAGTTTGGACCCCGAGCATTATACGGACCCCCTTCACCATCAAGGCATCGTCATCTCGCAGCTCCACCAGGACGAAGCCGTCGGCTCGCCGCGACCTGGCGAGAGCGTTGATCATCATCCTCCGGCACTTGTTCCAATCGGACGGGGAGACGCCAGCGTGGCCCTCTCCGCCTGGGCCGCCTACGCCGCCGCTGCCGCCGCCATCACCATGGCCGGACACCTCTTCGCACGCGAAAAACCACAACCAGCGCCGCCGGCGGAGGTAAGACGCCACGTACCTGCTGCTGGAGGGACCGGCGAAGCGCTCCCCGGGCCCCGCCACGAGGTCCTTCGGGGCATCGCCGCCGAAGGCAGGGTACGGCCCCGTTGGCACCAGCGGCGGAGCCCCCCCGGGCCCAGACCCCGACGACCGGGACACCACCGCCGTCGTCGGGACGGCGCCGGCGGCGCCGGCGCGCAAGGACGCGCGGCCGCTCTCGAACCGCTGCTGCGACGGCGGCGACGACGACGACGTCGATTCCGGCAGCATGAGCTGGAAGAAGATGTTGGTCTCGGAGCCCGACAAGCCGGCGTTCACCTTGTGGATGAGCCCCTCGTCCTGCGTGAGCGCGGCCGAGATGCTCTGCGCGCGCTTGCCGAGCCCCGGATGGCGCCCGCCGCCGCCGCCGCCGCTGGTGCCGCTGGTGCCGCTGGTGCCGCTGGTGCTGGTGCTGGTGCCTACGCTGTCGACGCCGCCTCCTCCGCGGGCAAGGGCGCTCGTCGCCGCCGTCGCCACCATCAAATCCTGGGGCGACGTCGCCTGGCCACCGCCGCTGCCGACGCTTGCGGTCCGCGTGAGAGGAAGCACCATCGCGCGCGACGACTCCGCCGCAAGCGCTGCTACAACGGCATCTTCTTCTCCTGCTGCTGCTGCTGCTGCTGCTACCGCTCTCCCATCCGCAGGCGGCTCGCCACCGCCGGGGGCACCGCTGCCCGCAAGCTCTCCGGATGCTGCGCCTACCGCCACCTCTGCCGCCGCTGCAGCCGCCGCCACCGCCGCCACCTCCGTGTCACTCTGGGGAGTGGCGACCATGCCGCCGGCGCTCCAGATCTGCTGGCGGAGGTCCGCCATCACGTCCGCGCGCCTGGCGGGGCCCACCCCGAAGCACCCCACGTCCAGAATCACCAGGGTTTGCGTCTTCCACTGGACCTGCGTCATGTAAGTCAGTCCGTTTCTACGATTGTTCCACAAGCAAATCAGTTTTTTTGTTTTCGATAACAGAGCCATGCGGTGCGGCGTGTGGCATAGACCACGACCACCGGCCACAACAAACACCACGCGAAAAATCGACTTGTTAGGAGAAGTCTGCTCGAGCGCCAGCTTTTGTGGGTCGAAAAAGCCGAAAAACCGAAACTTGAATATCAGTCGGAACCTAGACCCGTATGATCGACACGTATACATCCTGCTGTCGCACGGAACGTCTCGACTGCGACCGACCCGCGAAAATTGTCTAGTTCGAGGGATGCACAAGACTGGTCTCTTGCCAGCTAATGCCGTCGTGCAGGTGTCCCAACAAAAAAAACTCTTTGACTCGAATCTCTGGCCCCGGGTGCGACCGTTTCGAATGTATTTTCAAGGTGGGAATGCTTGGAACATCATTTTGATCTCTTCAACTAGAGACGGCCCCTGACAACAACAACAACTACAACTACAACTACAACTAAACCCATGCCAGCTTTGTGGCTGGAATACATACGCACCTTCAGAAGGACGAATGCGCCGGCTTTCGCTGTCACCGCTGCAGCCGCCGCCGCGGAAACAGAACCTTCGGCTCCTGCCGCCGCCCCCGTCGCCGCCGGTGCTGCGGCTGCTGCTGATGGTGCGGCTACCGCCGCCTCCGCAGGGGGCGAAGCGTCGTCGATTGGCAAGACCTATCGTCGTCGTTAGCCGCATGAAAAAATGACAAAAAATATCAGGGAAAATCAACAAAAGGTTGTATGCGGAAGGCCACGATCCATCCTAGCGTGCGTGTGTGTGTGTGTGTGTGTGCGTGTGTGTGTGTGTGTGTGTGTGTGTGTGTGTGTGTGGGAGTTATTTTTGTATTGCTAGCATCGACCGCGCTAACCGGCCGACCAATGAAAAGGCGTCAGTCTCCGTGTGCCTGAAAAGGCAACGTGCTTCAAAAGGCCATGAGGGTGCGTGTGCGTGTGATACAAAAAACTCCCCTATACTCAAGTCTCAGCAACTCTGGGGGTAGCAGGATCGTTCTGTGTACAGGCCGTCGCGAGTTATTGTTCGGACGAACGGCTAGTCATGACGGAGGAAACTGTTGCCGGCTAAATGAAAACGCTGAATCTCGACGACTTCGAAAGGAGATCGGTCAATTGTCGCCATCGGGATCACACCGCGGGCAGCAGGGGCGCCCCCCCGCCCTTCAGTACCCACACCGTTTGTCACCAGCAGATACCCGTCTACCAATATCGTAAGCATACCACTCTCTTCGGTGAAATAGGGACCATCGTGGTATTAGAGCTTACATCGGAATGGTCCTTATATTTTCGAACGGAGTGATGCAACCTAGCGGCGCTTATGACGACGACAAGAGCACGCGTCTTTCAAAGCCGTCGTTTCCCCCTACAGCACAGCTCTTAACCTTGAGGAACAAGCCGCGCTTCCACCAGCTGGTGCACCACCGTTGGCAGACGTCGAGCAGCATCTCCTCGGCCTTGCGTGATTCGTACGGCCTCTGCTGTAACTGCTGAAGCGTGGAAGGGGGCCGGGGGGTGGGGTGGGGTGGAGGACGAGCCGGTAAACAAACCATCATCACTAGTGTAGTAACAACAACGGAAACTACAACAGCAGCGGCAGCACGACAAGCCGGAGCAGCTGCAGCAGCAGCCGCAGCAGCAGCAGCAGTAACAACAATACAACAACAACAACAAAAACAACAACAACAACAACAACGCCTTTTCAAGCTGCAGTGTGAAGAACAGAGGCCGCGGAGCTCACACCCACCGTCTTATGCACAGAAGTCTTGGTCGCCAGGAGACCTCTGAAGATAACCTCCACGTACTCCGTGTTAAGGAACCGAAGCCACTCGGGCACGCTTATCCTCCCCAGCCACAGGTAAGGCCTGCACAGCCGCTCGTCGAGTCTGCCGCCGTCGGAGATTATCATCGGAGCACCGCAGAGAAAGGGACTTGCCTGGAAGAAACGCTTGCAACTGACTTGAATACATCGACGGTCAAAAGGGAAAAACTTGTCCCAACTAAATGTACCCTCACTTGTACCATGCGGGGAAACATGGCTGGGAGATGGTACATCAATACGACAAAATTGAACTGCTGTACCGCGTCGGTGTTTGTCTGTTGTCAAACCCGTATAATCCAAATCAAACGCCATCTCTTGTACATGCTACCACATGCTGGAATCTAACTTGCACCACCGAACAAGAATTCGAGCAGGGCGGGTTCCTGCCTCAAGGGAGTGAGTGGTAACACTCCGGCCGAGTCTTGTTGGGTCAGGCTGAGTCTTCCAATATTCTTCTTGTCTTGTGCCAAGCACGTCGTCCTCGAAATTCGTTGAAACAGAAGCAAAAAAAAGACATCCCCTCCTTCCTCCCCCCACCACATCAACAACAACTGCTACCACAAGGCACTACAACTACTCCCGCTACTCGTACTACCGCTGCAGACGTTCTTGCAGCCGGCGGCGAACGGCACGCTCCCGTGCGGCACGTCTGAAACGGCAACAAGCGACAACGAGATCGAAGGCTGTGTACCTCGCTGACGGGAAGTTTGACGCCCCTGGTGCCGCCGTGGCCGGCGACGACGACAAGGGTAACGCCGTCGAGGCAACGAGGCTCTGCCTGGTCCTCTCGATCTTGATGAGCATCTCGTCGCCCTGGTTTGTAGACGACAGCGACGATGTCAGCAGAGACGGGCGGACAGGCCAAGGGACACAAGCGCGTGGCGTTGTCAACTTCGACCAACATCCCGTCGTCCTGATTACAGACAGCGGCAGCAACAGCAGCAACAGCAACGACAACAACAGCAACAACGACAACGACAAAGACAACAGCAACAACTACAGCAGCAGCTACAGCAACAGCAGCAGCAACAACAACAACAGCAGCAACAACAACAACAACAGCAACAGCAGCAGCAGCAACAACAGCAGCAGCAGCAACAACAACAACAGCAACAGCAACAACAGCAACTAATACTCGAACTACCTGCTCCAAGGTCTTCAGGAAATCCTTTAGCCGAACAGCCCCCCCGCCATCGCTTCCGAATCCACCGCCACCGCCACCGCCGCCGCCGTTTGCGGTTCTTTGATTATTCTTCTTCCTTGTCTTCGCCTCCTCCCGAGTCTCCCGAAGGTCCACCAAGAAGTGCGCCGGGGCATGCACCTCGATGAACACTGTCGCTCTCCCGGGCATCGCCAGTGCCTGATGCTCGCTCTGTCCCATCCCGGTATTGGTTGGTTGTTTGCCGGAACGCCGGATTTTCGTGGCGCGAGCACGGGTGGGGGGGCGGGGAGGGGGTTGTATTCAATCGGGTCGGGAAAAAGGAGCGGGGTTATGCGAACAAGTTCTTGATACGGGAAGACGCTCGATGCATTCCTGCCGACGCGTCTCCGTTTCGCGGAATGCTTTCTCGCGCAAAGGCGGAATGCAAATCGCAGTTTGTGGTACAAGAGTGTGAATGAACGGGACCATGATTGAGACTTCTGTTGCTACGTCCTTCCGCGGTCTCCCCCTGTGAGCAAGGAATGGACGGGAAGAAAAAAAAAACGGTCACATGGACGCCGAGGCGAAGGACGCAGTAAAACGATCCCCGTTTTTTCCCGAAAGAGCCCGTTCCATGATGCAGAGGCCTGCCAAAACGCGTGTTTGTATTTTTCTGTTTGTTGGCACGACGGGCGGTTGCGTTTCCCGTCATGCCCCCCCCCCCACCACCACCCTATCCCTATCCCTCATTCCCACCTTAAACTCCAAGCAGTAGTCCACCCTAACGTCCGTTCTCCAGGCCAACGAGAACCGGGCTCTCACTTCCATCCCTCCGCTACCACCGCCACCGCTGCCGCCGCTGCCGCCGCCGCCGCCGCTGCCGCCGCCGCCGCCGCTCCTGCTGTTGCTAACGCTCACGGAGCGAGGCCTCCTGCCGCTGGTGCTCCCGGTGCCGCCACTGAAGCTGCCGCTCCGCCGCCGTTGTCGTTGGAACCTCGCGCCGGCACCGCTACCGCTACCGCTGCCGCCGCCGCCGCCGCCGCCGGCGGTCTGGAGCCACCCCCCCTCGCTTCTTGCAGGGCTTCCGACCATGAATCCCTCGGGGATGAGCCCTCCTCCTCCGGCGGAGCTACAAACCGGCGTCCCCGAAAAAAAAAAAAAAGGTTAGGAGGGTTGGCATATAGAGTATAGAGTATACGGCCGGGTTTGTTCGCGAAAAATTAGAGGGCAAAAATTTAATTGTATCACACACGGTCGGTGCAGGCGACGGACATTGCTAAGATTCTTGCTTGTTCCGCTTTTTTTTTTTCCTTTTCCAATCGCTCGGCATTCTCCTCTCGACCGCGTACATAGCTCGTGCGACAACCATGTGCATGTATCACCACCCTGGCGGAACAACGCACACGTGTTTGGACCCCGAAACCAAGAGGGTGTGGCCGCCCCAAAGCAATTTTTTCGTCCACATGGTCGTGTGTGCATTAGGCCGCGGCCGAAACCTTAATCGGTCTTGGTTTTTTTTTTCTTTGTCCTTGCTGATGCTATCGTTTGTCGTGGGCGATGATTTTGGGACCTCTGGCGTGGACAAAATGAGAACAACTCCCGTAGGGTCGAGGCGCCCGCGCCATTTAGTCGATTCCAGGCTCCACTTGCTTCCCAAGTCCACCCGGCAATGACTGGGTCATCTTGAGGAGAAGCAGAAGGCAGATACGATCCAACTTTTTCGCCCCAACAGGCGAGGACCCGAACCTGTTTTGCATCAGTGCGAGGCGAATCAA